CCGACCCCCCCCCCCTCCAGTCAACCGTGTCTGCTGCTACAGAACATTTATCTCTGCAGAAAAATGCTGCTCCCAGTGGTTCTGACTCCCCCTCTGTCCTCCCCCCCGTTTTTAAATTTTGTCCTTCTCATCAGAGGTTGTAGGCCGGTTATTTTAGGAGCGGATTGGTCTAATTATAGAAAGATAAACATTGTTGAAGGTGGAGCAGTTCTCCAGTCTTTCTCCGTCAGCTCATCTGTTTCATTCAGCGTTGTGAGGAGACGATCAGTAGGGGGAGTCGACATTTGTACAGCATCAAATGTAGCACAGCCACAGAGCTAACGGCGGCTAACGACAACATGATGTCTTCATGTCTTCACAGATGAAACAAGTCCGTCCAACGTGTGGGACTGTAAGAACAGAGGCGTGAACGGCACCCAGAAGGGTCAGATAGTCTGGAGGCTGGAGGCCGGGCCGTACTTCATGGAGTGTAAGTCACGATCTCCAACAAACACTCACTGCTGCGTAGGGATGTAATGACACAATCAGTTGAAATTAAAAAAAAATGTGCATCAAAAAGTCACTGGTCATACCATGGCACTACACCCTCCAGTACAGTAGGTGGTGGTAGTTTTTTTGTATGTCAGATATACAGACCATACAAATCAATTTTTAAAAATGTAATTAAATTTAAAAATGAATTCATACCTCAGACAGAAGTGAGGTTTTGTTCTGCGGACAGTTTGACAGCTGAGGCGGGAAATGAAACCTCGGACTTGGATTGATTTCATTTGTAGCAGCTCAGGGTTTTTAAAATTTCTAGTCACAGGATTTGACAGAGTAGAAAAATGTTAACGTTGTCTTTGTTTGTTGAACGTTGTTTCCTCCGTCGACTGCAGCCGAGACCAAGATCTGCTTCAAGTACTACCACGGAGTGAGTGGAGCCCTGCGGGCCACCACGCCCTGCATCACCATCAAGAACCCTGCAGTCCTGGTCCGTGAGACACTTCACACACGGTTCATTTTAACAACATCATGAAAAGACGGTTAATGTAAAAAATCCACAAACATTTAAAGAAAAGGAGAAAAAACACAAAATAAATCAAAAAAATAGATAGCAGTGGAGCTAATGCTAATGCTAACGTAAGCGTGTCCAGCAGTGACTGGACACTGTGGTCAGTCTACAGTCACATGACATGGATTCAATTTGCCTCATCATCAAATGATTATTAATGTATTCACAGTGTAATGTGGTCTGTTCTCCACCAGGTGGAAGGGCTGGCAGAGCAGGTGGGAATCGAACACCCCCGGAAACTGATCAGTTTCACTTTAACAGGTCAGTTTATCTTTTTATATTTATTTTTTTTGGGTATCTTAAATGACTAACTGAGACCCAGGGCAACAGGCAGGAGGAGGGGCAGTTCTCCAGGTTCTCCAGGTTCTCCAGGTCCTCCACATAAGAAAAGGAAAAGAGTAAAACAACGTTTGATAAAATTATTTTTTTTTACCAATCAAATACTTTGATAACCATAATTATTTTTTACTTGACCACAGGAAGTGTTTGATTCTGTGTGATCAGACCCCCATCTGCTGTTCCAGATTTACGGGCCACGGGGCTGAAGAAGGGCATGTTTTTTAATCCAGACCCATATCTGAAGATGTCCATCCACCCAGGAAAGAGAAGCATCTTCCCGGTCTTCAGTCACCACGGACAAGAACGCAGATCAGCCATCATCGCTAACACCATCAACCCTGTGTGGCACGGAGAGGTGAGGGGCCAGAGCAGGGGCGTCAAACGCATTTAGGTTCAGGGGTCGCATGCAGCCTGATCTGATGTTCGGATCAGTACAATTATAACATAATTACCTAAAAATAACAACAAGTAGGGATTTCCGATATTAACTTTACGAAATGCTGATATTGTCCAAACATTTAATTTTTGATTCCCATATCACCCAATACCAATACATGCAGCCGGTTGTGGGGGAAAACGGCTGTATATGAAAGTGAAAACCACTAGATGGCAGCATTGCAGCTCAATTTATTGATCTATTTTAATAATCAGGGGATTGTAAACATTCCCAGGCCTTTATTGGTATCGGTTGCTGGATTAGTACAGTTCCTGGTACATTCACTCCAGTTAGGGTCCAAGACACCAGGTGACTTTTCGCCACCATCGCTGAGGTTTGATGTTGAACTCACCTGGTGTCGTGTTGTTGCTCTGCAGAAGTACACATTTGTTGCACTGATGACGGACATCCTGTACATCGAGGTTAAGGACAAGTTCGCAAAGAGTCGACCAATCATCAAGCGGTTCCTCGGTCAGCTGGCCATCCCTGTGCAGCGGCTCATTGAAAAGATTCCTGGGTAAGTGATGTACATACAATATAATTTACAGCATTACAACAGGCAGACAATATATTGAAACTTTCTGTCAGCATATATACAAATACAAATGTTAACAGGAAACTCTTCTTCTTTCCTCCTCTGTGCAGCGTCCAGCCCGTTAGCTTATCTCTGTGTCGGCGGCTGCCCACCGAACACGTCAGTGGTCAGTTACAGTTCAAGGTGGAGCTAACGTCAACTGGACCTGATGGTACGTACATCGCTACGTATCATCGTTAATCTTTATTACCGAAACGTTTGGGTCCTGTTAGATTGAACCTTATTTGTTCTTGTCACGTAGATAGAACCTTATTTTTGTACTTGTTAGATGGATAGAACTGTTTTTTGTTCCTGTTAACTGGTACTGTTCCTCCACAGGTGCTTCTCCTGACTCTATCATCGGCATTTCTTCGTTAAACGGCGCTCCGGGAACTCCATCGGATGATGAGGACCTCCCACATCACCTTCCAGGGCTGGTCGCTGCAGGCCCCTCCCCCACAGGTTACCAGGGCTCTCAGGGTCCATTTGAGGGCGGGGCCACAGCCTGCAGAGATAAGGACTTTCCATTTATTGGAGAGGCCAGATTTTCGGAGCCTGAGCGCTTGTCGGGACATGAAATGCTCCAGAGGTCGCTCAGCGAAGGCCTTGATGCCATCGAGGCCCCCAAGGGCCCCGGGGAAAGACCCCTGGGTGCTGCCTCACCCAAACTGCGCTCTAGTTTTCCCACTTATACGAGGCTCAGTGCTATGTTGCACATAGATTCAGATGAGGACGAGGAGAGGTCGGGGGCTAACGATATCACCCCGGTGCCGCTGTCGCCGCTGCTGATCAACGGAATAACTCCAGACATGGACGTCCCCGACGACGGAGGCTTTTTTCCTGAAATTCAGCAGCTGGAGCTGCATGGACCCTCTGTGGTGGAGGTGGAGCCTGAGGCTTTGTCAGAGGAGGTCGCCCCTGAGGAGGGGGTGTTGGCAGGTTTGGATCTAGACGACGTGTTGGAGCCGGATGTCTTTTCAGAGGTGGACGAGGGTCCGTTCACAGAGGCCGATGCTCAGACGGCGATGGGGGAGGAGCCTGGAGGAGGACATGTGCCTGCTGAGGAAGGTTCGTCAGAGATGGATACCTGCTCCATGGCAACCGCTCCACAGACGCTCTACTCATTATCAGAGAGCTGTTTAGGAGCAGTGACCTCAGCTGTGGTGAGTTCTTCAGTTCGCATCACTCCAACGCCATCTTTGAGTCCACATCATTTAGTCAACATTGTTTAATCCAAGCAAAAAAACATCATTGTGTTACAGTTTTACAACAGTTAAATTATTTTAATTTTAATTTTTTAATTTATCTCAGTTTATCGTATTGTTGTCCCTGTATTGTGATACGTATCGTCAGATTCTCGCCAACACAGCCATCAGTGAGAAACATTTCCATTCGTAGGTCCATGAGACAGATTTGAAGTTTTTATAAGGTTCAAACCAACTTTTCTGGAAATGGCGCTTCAGTAATTTGTGATCTGTTTGGCAGGAACCAGCAGAGGGAGCAGAGACAGCCATCGATCCGGGGGGGCCAGACGTCTCCAGCCTCCCGAGGACCAGACAGGATGATGAAGGTGACGGAGATCCTGACGTCTTTGAGGCTGAAGGACAAGCTCTGCCGGCCAGTGAGCAGCAGCAGCAGCAGGAGGAGGTGGGGGAGATAAGTGTGAGGAGGCTGAGTCTGCAGGCTGTGGGGGGGGCGTCTGTGGAGGAGGAAGGCGAGAACACCAAGCGTCAGAATGATGAGGTGTCTACAGATCCAGAGCAGGAGCAGAGAGGAGCTGTTGAAGATGAAGGTACGAACATCGACCAGACTCTGATGATGATCAATGATGTTCAGGTTTGATTAGTTTTGCCTCCTGTGTTCAGGGGCCCAGGTCATAGGTCATCCTGTTCGCTCTCTCCCCTCCGTACGACACGATATCCACAGATACCAGCGTGTGGATGAGCCACTGCCCCCTAGTGAGTGTGTGTGTCCGCACCTACCTCATTGTTTGTGTGTCTGTGAAGCCTTTGTGTGTGTGTGTGTGTGTGTGTGTGTATTCATTAAAAATACATGATAAAAACCTTTACCTGTTACCTTCACGGACCTGAGTGACTCTTCTTCCTCTTCCTCTTCCTCTCTGTCACCTCCTCTCAGACTGGGAGGCTCGGATCGACAGTCACGGCAGGATCTTCTTTGTGGACCATGTGAACAGAACCACGACATGGCAGCGTCCCACTGGACCTCCGGCCCCACAGGGCCTGACTCGCTCCAACTCCATTCAGCAGATGGAGCAACTGAACCGCAGGTGAGGGTTCTGCTTCACAGTAGCAGGAGCCAGTGTTGTACTGCAGTACTACGTGATTACTGCTCAGACTCATACCGTTCATATGTGTACTCCGAACCACAGATACCAGAGCATCAGAAGAACCATCACCAACAGTGAGCGGTCCGAGGACACCTCCGTGGACCTGGTCCCTGAACCAGAGACTGAACTCATATCCCACCCCATGTCTGGTTAGTGATGTCATACAGTAGTACAGCAGCTGGTACTACACCATTCACATAACAATACAAAATACCAGTGTCTGTTGTAATGTAGAGCAGTGGTCTCCAACCACTGGATCCCGGTCTGATACAGGGCCGCACAGGAAAGAAAAATTTTATTTCAATTTTATTGATTGTCAAAGCTGTAGATGAAAAGGTCACAGAGGTCACGGAGGAGTGGCCTTAGTCAGAACCAGACAGACAGTTTCACTGTGTTTCTTATTGTACTGTATTTTATTTTGTTGAGTTTTTCACTGAATTCTGAAGATTAGATTAGATCCACATACATCAGCCTTGTGTTGTATTTCAACACTGTCTGTGTGTGTGTGTGTGTGTGTGTTCTTTTCAGAGTACCGGCGAGAGAGCACGGTGGCTCACACGGGCAGCCGCTCACGCCTCTCTCTGCTGCTCCAGTCTCCCAGCGCCAAGTTCCTGTGCAGCCCAGACTTCTTCACCGTGCTGCATTCAAACCCTGTCGGTCAAACCAGCTCCGTGTCTTTGTTTACACTCGTTTGTTTTATGTTGACGACAGAAATGATTTCTTTCCCACCAACTCGTCTAAATCATTTCTCCATTTCCTGTTTTCCTAATCCCCCCCACCCCCGACTAGAGTGCCTACCGCATGTTTACAAGCAACACCTGCCTGAAGCACATGATCAGTAAGGTGCGCCGGGACGCTCATTACTTCGAACGCTACCAGCACAACCGCGACCTCGTCACTTTCCTCAACATGTTTTCTAACAAGCAGCTGGAGCTTCCCCGAGGGTGGGAGATGAAGCACGACCACACTGGGAAGGTGTGTGTTTCCTCCGCTCATCAAGAGGTTGTTCCATGCTGTGGTTTTCAGACTTTTTTTTTATACCAAACACCAACTATGTTTCCAACATATTTGACGAAACCCAGGCATTTTAATATCGGAGGACAGATATTACATAATTATGCTAATGTCGATAGTATCGGTCTGCCAAGTTTATCAGACATCCCTACAGTAGATAAGAAAATATTGATACAACTGTAGATCCCTCTGTTCCAGTGTTAGTAACCTGATGTTAAGATGCAACAGCAGCAGAGTCTCAGTTTTGCTACAATTACAGTGTTAAAAAAAACACTCAATATATCGTCGTGTAATAGTGTTAAAAAAAACACTCAATATATCGTTGTGTAATAATCGCAATATATCGTATCCTTGCCCCTGTATCGTGATACATATCGTATTGATCAGATCCTTGCCGATACACGGCCGTATCAAATATCGAATGACATTTTATTGTTCGACTGGTTAGTCCAGTGTCGGTTCTGTGTACATCTGTGTGTGTGGAACATGGAGTTGGTTCAAACGTCATCATCGGTTCCTGTGTTCTACTCTCCAGCCTTTCTTCGTGGATCACAACTGTCGCTCCACGACCTTCATCGATCCACGGCTGCCGCTCCAGAGTTCCCGCTCCACTGGTCTGCTGGCCCACCGCCAACACCTGAGCCGACAACGCAGCCACAGTGCTGGAGAGGTAGGTGAACTGGAGCTAACCCTGGAGCTAGCCCTGGAGCTAACCCACACTGGGTTTTAGAGTTTTAGAATATTCTCTCCCAGATTTATTCAGAAACAGTTCCAGTGACCACAGGCCGGTGGGTTGGACCCAGAACTGGGATGCACCTGAACTGTAGTGTCTCCTCTTGTCCCAGGTGGTGGACGACTCCCGGCAGACCAACCAGGCCATCGTGCCCCGCCCCTCCAGCACGTTCAGCGGCTCCAGTCGGAGTCAGTGCCCTGATGTGGTGCCTGTGGGTGAGTGAATGGCACACACACACACACACACACACCCAGAGCCCCCTCCATCCCCCCACCCCCCACTCAGCCGTCCTCTCTGATCCTCTGACAGCCTACAATGACAAGATCGTGGCCTTCCTACGGCAGCCCAACATCTTAGAGATCCTGCAGGAGAGGCAGCCGGAGCTGAGCAGGAACCACTCCCTCAAGTACGACCTCCTCCCCCCTCCCTCTGTCCGAGTCTGTCCTCCCCCTGACACTGACGTACGTGTGTGTGTGTGTGTGTGTTTGCAGAGAGAAGGTGCAGTTCATCCGTACAGAGGGAGTCAATGGTCTGGCTCGTCTGTCCAGTGACGCTGACCTAGTGATGCTGCTGAGGTGGGTCTCTGTCCATAACTGGTCACGTCACACATGCAGCGATGCTAACACTGTCCTGGTTTCTGCAGTTTATTTGAAGAGGAAGTGATGTCGTACATCCCCCAGTTACTCCACCCAGGTTACTGTCTGTCCTCCCCCCAGAGCTCCCCTGGTAAGACCTTCAGTCCAGAGGTTCATGTTGTAGAAGTTCCTGCTGTTACTAAGATCTACTAATGTTTTATACTGACCTAAAAAAGAGTTTATGAAACTATTTGACATCCTTACACTCTTCGTCGTTCTTGACCTCAGGCACCCAGAGAGCCAACGCTCGCGCTCCTGCTCCCTATAAGCGAGATTTTGAAGCTAAACTGAGAAACTTCTATCGCAAGTTGGAGACCAAAGGTTACGGCCAAGGACCAGGAAAAGTCAAGTAGGTTTCAAACCTGCGGATTGGTTGACCATCTACAGCATGTGTGATGTGATATAAAAGTACTTTTTTCTAAATGAGCTCTTTTTTTCTGGTACTGTTTGTACACCTGCTCCTAGGCTGATCATTCGTAGAGACCACCTTCTAGAAGATGCCTTCAACCAGATCATGTGTTATTCTCGTAAAGACTTGCAGAGAAGTAAACTGTACGTCAGCTTTGTGGGTGAGGATGGGTGAGTACTTAACTGTATTCCCACTGTTTTTTTTATCCACTGAGAGAAAACTCTTTAGTGAAAGACACACAGAAAAGTTTCCATCCACTCACAGTGAACCCTGGGCCTGTTCAGTTGAACACAGCACTGATATACACACAGGAATTGAAGGGAGACACACAGCTCTAGGTTCTGACATCTACTCTTTCGTTCTACAGACGTAAACAGACAGTGTGTTCTGGTATTTGTTTCCAGACTGGACTACAGTGGACCTTCCAGAGAGTTCTTTTTCCTGGTGTCCAGAGAACTGTTCAACCCGTACTATGGCCTGTTTGAATATTCGGCCAACGACACGTACACGGTCCAGATCAGCCCCATGTCTGCGTTTGTGGACAACCATCATGAGTGGTGAGCCGTCTGTACAGTTCTGTCTCTGTGTCCGTCTCTGTGTCTGTGTCCCTCACTGTTTGTCTTCCTTAGGTTTCGCTTCAGTGGACGGATCCTGGGCCTGGCCCTGGTCCATCAGTACCTGCTGGACGCCTTCTTCACCAGACCCTTCTACAAGGGCCTGCTTCGCATGTAATCAAACAGTCCCTTCTGTCCTCCCCTTCTCTTCACTGTTAATGAGCAAGGCACCATCAGTTAGACTCCCAATTGTACTATACGTTGTTGACCTCTGACCCTGTCGATGCAGTCCAGAGCAAGGCACCATCAGTTAGACTCCCATTTCTACTGTACATTGTGTGTTTGTGACCTCTGACCCTGTTGATGCAGTCCCTGTGATCTGAGTGACCTGGAGTTCCTGGACGAAGAATTCCACCAAAGTCTCCAGTGGATGAAGGACAACGACATCGAGGACATGCTGGACCTCACCTTCACCGTCAACGAAGAGGTGTTTGGACAGGTACGTCATGGAGTACTTTTTAGTACTGTTTTTATTACTGTTTTCAAATAGACTAATCAAATAAGTCCTCTGTCTGTTGTTGTGCAGATCACAGAGAGAGAGCTGAAGCCCGGGGGGGCGGGTATCCCAGTGTCCGAGAAGAACAAGAAGGAGTACATCGAGCGAATGGTCAAGTGGCGTATCGAGAGAGGCGTGGCCCAGCAGACGGAGAGTCTGGTCAGAGGCTTCTACGAGGTACGACCCACGACGGAAGGATAACATTAACTGTTTGTTCTGAATAAGGACTGGAGGAAATAAAACAACAAATTGGTGCATCCTAGGTGGGGCTGCGCCCCTCACTTTGGATAGTAAGATAGTCTGATAGTATGTTGGTTTAATAGTATGAGGAGATCTTTGTCCTGCTGTCTGTCCTGGTTTGTCCTCTTCTTCCTCCTGTTCCTCCTCCTCCTCAGGCTCTCCTCCATCTGCTGCCAACCCTAACTGCAGATTACAATGTCATCTGTGGACATCGTGGTCCATGGAGACCACTGGCTGACTTCATGAGTCAGCATATTCATCACCATTCCAGGAACCGAAGCCTGGGAGCTAATCTGTGTTGTTACCTCCTCCTCTCTTCCAGTCATGTGACCCCAGTCCTCCTGTCATCATACTGTACATGTCCTGAACCACCCTCACATCTTCACCTGCCTCTTCTGACATCGTGTATCACTGCAGGTTCTCTCTCGGTGAAACCATCATCAAATGAAGTCTTCTCTGTTACATTAGCCCCTCAGGGGTATCTTCAGCCCTCTGCACCACACTGCCCCTACAGGACCTGGAGTATAGCATCATCTGGTTGCCGTCTCAGTCTGCTCAGACTCGATGACATCACAGTGACTGATAACAGCAGCTGACATTCTTTAACCCTTTGTTGTCCTTGTCTGTGTGTGTGTGTTAGGTGGTGGATGTGCGGCTGGTGTCGGTTTTCGATGCCAGGGAGCTGGAGCTGGTGATTGCAGGTACTGCAGAGATCGACCTGGCCGACTGGAGGAACAACACAGAGTACAGAGGAGGTGTGTACCCTGATGTAGTACAACGTAGGTAGATGACTCAGAAATAAAAACTGTTGTCATTAGTCCTGGGCATCAGCAGCATTAGCATCAGCAGCATTAGCATCAGCAGCTTTAGCATCAGCAGTCAACTGAGGCAAGGGCAAAAAATGAAGTCATTGTTAAAGTGTCAACATCAGTGAGGACACAGTTGCGGGGGGGAGGGGGAGCAGAGGGACAGCCTGGAGAGCAGAGGGTCTTCTTTGTTTTTCTTCTGATTCATGCACAGTCATCATCATTTTCATCTAACGTCTCCCCAGGTTACCATGACAACCACATCGTGATTCGCTGGTTCTGGGCAGCGGTGGAAAGATTCAACAATGAGCAGAGGCTCAGGCTGCTGCAGGTAGGACACCATGCCTATCAGCTGCCCCCGTGTGGAGGCTGGCTGAACTGCAGCTCAGCTGCTTTGACTGCACGTGAAACATAAGTCATTAAATCGCTGTGATTTTTATTATTCAACACTTTTTAAAAATTAAAAAATTAAAAACAACAGTTTGGAAACAGAACTGTTCCAGTTCTGATAATTTAAAAAAAGGTTTTTTTAGCCTCACAATATCGTTGGAACGACTGTCATTGGCTTTGAAAGGTGTTTAAGTTCTTGTCCTCTTATTTTATCTTTTCTGTTTAAACAACACCAAGAGTCTGGTTTTATTTCAATGATTTTTCTGCCTCCAGTTTGTGACGGGGACGTCCAGTATTCCCTATGAGGGGTTTGCCTCCTTGAGGGGCAGTAATGGGCCTCGCAGATTCTGTGTGGAGAAGTGGGGAAAAATTACCTCCTTACCCAGGTAACGCCCCCTGATGACATCACTGTCAGCTCTCATTAGTCGAGTGTTGATGATGTCACTGAGACAGGAATGATGATGTCACAGAAACCTAAGATGTCACTTTTCTATCATCGCCCCCTTGTGGAGTTTGGAGGAGAACTGCAGGATTGTTGTCATGGTCAGATGGATGGACCTGTTGGCAGCAGGTGGAACTGAATCGGTTCTCTGTTCTTTCTCGTCCACAGGGCTCACACCTGCTTCAACCGTCTGGACCTACCACCTTACCCGTCCTTCTCCATGCTCTATGAGAAGCTGGTCACTGCAGTGGAGGAAACCAGCACCTTTGGTTTGGAGTAACGACCAGACAGAGAGGCGACCTGGAGAAATAAAATGATTTCCTCCAAACGGCGACTACGTCATCTCCCCCTCAGCACAGGATTGACCACAGAGCTCCGCTTCTCTCTCACATTCCTGTCCAAGGTGAGCACTCTCTGGAGGAGTGGAGGAGAAGTGGAACAAACTCACAGGTTTCTCGTGTTCACTGCAGCCACACCTGTGCTTTAACTTTTTTTTTTTACGTTCATGGCCTTGGTTTCTAAATCTGAGGACATCGTGTCTTCAACCTGCACCTCAGAGACAGTGGCTCCTGTTTCCTCTCTGGACCTCCGACCTGTGTCTTTTATGCACTGAGGCTGCATTATTATAAACTACTGTACCACACACACACACACACACTCACACACACACAGAAATGACCAGTGTCTGTTCCAGAGGTAGTTGTTTACATAGCAGAGACAGTGTCAGGTTGTCACAGTGGAATTTATGTCTTCACTAGGGATGTCTGATATTATTCAACGACCGATATTATCGGCCCGATGTTAGCATAATTATGTAATATAATAAGAATCATTATCGGTTTTTCCTCCGATAACGAAAACCTGATAACACAATGTCTGGGTTTCACCAAATGATGAGTGACCTAATAATATTTTCGGGGAAAAACAGCTGTATATGAAAGTGAAAGCCACTAGATGGCAGCATTGCAGCTCATTTTATTAATCTACTTTAGTATGTAAGATGCTGGTGCCGGCAACTCATACAGTGGTTTGTACTGATAAATAAATAAATATTGCCAGGCCCTTAATAATATTTCAATTTGCAGGGGTGGTTAAAAAACTTTTATCCCCTGGGGGGGCATGGGAGAAAATAAATGAGAAACACTGCTTTAACCCATCACTTTAGTGAGCAGGGGGCAGTTAACTTCCTTAACCACCAGGCCACCACTGCCCCGTTGTATCGGTATGGTTGATACGGGAATATCAGCAAAAAAGTCAATATGGGACATCCCTACTCTTTACTTTAGGCTGAAGAAGTTGCAAAAATCAACTAATCATAATTAACAAAGTCAAAATACAACTCACACTTTTGTTGTGCATGTGTGTAAAATCTTTAACATTTCAATTTTAGAAAATATTTTTTTATGGTGGAAATGCGGTGGAAACCTGAGTGGTGCTCCTGACAGCAAGGTAACAACACCTACAACGCAGGTTGTAGGTGTTGTAGGTGTGAGTGTGAATGCGGTTGTGAATGGTTGTTTGTCTCTATGTGATGGACCAGGACAACTGTCCATTTGCTCTGAATCAAATTGATTTGTACCTGGTCACATGGTCCACATAAATATATAAATATGTGGAAAGTGACTTTTATTTGCCACTTCAGAATTTTACATTTTTGACTTGAATTCACCTGAGTTTATATTTAAGAGACACAGATCACTGACATTGTGTTAGTACTGATCACTGACGGTGTGTCGGTACCTTGGACAACAACTCTTCAAAAACACCTGAAATATTCCGTTAAAATAATTTGAAAGCCTGTGGTGACGTGGACAAAGATGAGCCTGAGACTGTCAGTTACACACACACACACACATACACACACACACACATACATACATGGGGTGCATGCAAGATTACATGTATTGTACAAAGTTCTGAGTTCTACCACTGGGGCTGGAACCGTTGGACAGTCCCAGATGTGGTGTGAGATGTGGATGCAGACGTCTGTGTCTCCGTCAGTATCTCTGTCCACTTCTGCATGCCGGAATCTTCCCGGCCAGCTCTGTGAGCTGCGGCGGGGCAGAAACCCATAGGTGGCGTTGTGTCATAGCTCGATATTGCATGCTGAACTAGTGCAACACTCCGTCCTTACTAGCTTCTTTGCATGAGGTTCTTATTAAAACTTTGTGAAAAGGCAGCGGTTTAGCTTTGGTTCTGGGCCCAGTGGCCTCGGACAGAGTCAGGTGTGCATGAGGCCACAGGTCACCTGGGACATGTGACCTCACACGCACCTGAGTCTCAGCTCTGATTGGACCTGTGAGACTGAGGGACCGTTTCAGTGACCAGTGTCACGGCACCGGGTCCCTGTACCATGTGCACGTCAGCCTGTCTTTGTTCTCGATGGATGGTTCTGTTCTACTGCACATCTGAATCGGTGACGGACCAATAGGGCTGTTTTGATTTTGTAAGATGTGAGTGCACGTGTACGTGTACCATGTGTGTTTGTTTGTCTCTTTCTATATCCCTGTGTATGTACGTCTGTCCTGTTGTCTCTTCAAATATATATTTTGCACCGAATGTACCAAAGCTTTGGGGTTTGCATTGTCCAATCATTAGGCTAACACGGTGGACTCCTCCCACAGCCGCGGCGACAGCGAGGCATTAAAGCAGGATATTATTTATTACTTATAAACGTTTACATTTTTCATAAAAATACAGCAAAAACGACAACAAAAACGTTTTTTTTTTTAAAGAAAGGTAAATACTTCCAGTTCCCAAAAGCCACCACAGTATTCCCAGTAGCAGCTAGCTCGACTTTTCTGATTTTCACTCTATGCAAAGCTCCTGTGTCTCAGTTCCACTCATGATGATGATGATTGTAATAAAAAATTGAACATTTTGATCCAGGAAACAGGACCATCATTTATAGACTCAACCTTCAGCACCAAACGACCTAAATTATAAGCACTATTTTATTTTATCTAACACCACTGTTTCGCCAGCGTACCACTAGAGGGAGCTGAAGTACCACAAGCGGTTTAGGTATCCGACAAAATTATTTATTTTTTTAATCTACTAAAATTACTTTGTTAATGTGGAGGCCAAATATTTATTTCTACCCAATTTCATAATTATTTTATTTCTGAAAAAAAAAATCATACCACGGGACAAAACCAAACGAGTCCACGTTTCCTGTCTCTTAACAGAACGAGGCGAAGTTACTTCACCGCCGGGCGGTTATTTATTTATTTTTGGTTGATTAAAAATGATATAAATACAAGTTTTCAACCTCAAGCATGTTGAACAAATGTATATATCTGAATATATTCATGTGAATCGCTGTCCGTCGGATGTTAGCAGCTGTGTGACGTCCAACTGTTCAAACCTTCAACAGGCTTTTTTCAAAACTCGACACTGCACGGTGCGCGCATGCGTGGAGCTGTGACGTGTCCACCGAGTGTCTGTCAAACAGGGATGTGAAATCACCCGAAACTCTGTGGATTAACTTTGTTGATGCCGACCCGTCGTGTTTCGTCGTGGAATTGAACGATGTCCGGAGAAACGAACCGGGACTAGAAATCTGCACCGCTGCGAGGAAAGTGACTTTTAAAGCGCGGAGTGATACTGGCGGTGAAGTTTATCTGAGTCTGTACAATAGCACGGTCACCGACCGAGGCCAGCAGTGACATGGAGCCACTGTGTTAGCCACCGAGTCCGGCCTCACTGCTCCGTCCACCGTCCACTAACAGAGGAACAGTGCACCAGCGGCGGCGGCGGCGGCGGCAGCAGCCTGGTACCAGTGACCCGGTACCATGTCTCGGAGGAGACTGGACAGCCGGAGCGGACTGCCGGCTGGACTGCTCAGCGACATCCAGACTCCAATCAGCACGGAGCCGCTGGAAAGTGTGTATGAAATCACCGGAGAGCTAGGCAGGTCAGTACCACTTCCGGTCCAGTAGTGGTTTGTCTGCAGCAGCTCAGACCGACTTCGGAGCCAGGCATTAGTCATGGGTTAGATTTTTGTGGCGACAAAACTTTTAAAATCCGGACAAATGTCTGAGATTTAGCCACCCCTGCTGGTCAGGTGGTTTAATGCCCCTCACCTAGTTATTGCTGTTTAACGTAGAAATAGTTTAGTGTTGAACTAAAAACTTTAAAGTACATCTATGTGAAAGTTCTTGGTGTTTCACTGTTGTCTACTGTGACCCAGTATTTTACTGTATAAACGTTGTGTTTCAGGTGGTATTTTAGTTAATAATAGACAATATTCAGATACTGGTATTTGTTTTGTGATGATTTACCCTGAAGGTTGTTGATTTGAATCCTCATGGGGCATCATGCTGGTGTAGTGGTTCAAGCTCCTGCCTTACAGTAGGGGTCCTTGTTTGATCCCTGGTTCCCCCCCCTCTCCCCTCCTTAATTTGAATAATGTGACTGGAGGTCAAACAAATCTGTGGTCTGTGGTGGCGGTTGTGCAGCGTAAACATTGTCTTCTGTAAACACCCGGAGTCTCAGTACCAGGGTCCGGGTTGGACTGGTCCCACAGAGGACCATTGTGGTAGTTTTGGCACCATGTGTCAGCTGGGTAACTGCTGATGGTTGATGATCACATTCAAAGGGTTTGTGCTCAGTGATGTGACACACACAGGAAGGAAGTGAACACTTGGTGTGAACCAGGCTGAAATAAAGAAGTGGTGACTTCTGGGTATGTCCACACAGGAAGTCTGAGGGTGGGGGGGGGCAGTGTTAATGTGATTTGTGGATGTGATAAAAGAGGAAGTGGAGTTGTTCTGAGGCAGATGAGGCAGGAGTCAAGGTGAGGAGGAGGAGGATGGTCCACTGTGACGACCCCTGGAGGGCACAGGAAAAAGAATAGAATTTCAACATAACATTGATTTTAGTTTTCTTCCTGTTTTTTTTCGAGGGGGGGTAATTTTAACTTCATCCAAGGTATGATGTTACGTCAGGGGATCGGGGGGGTATTTAAGTATTTCGCTGTTCTTTGGTTTCACAGACATCTTCGTCTTCTCCTTGGTGTCAGTTATTTTGGGAGCAGAGGTTTTAGCTTCTTTGTCGTTGTAATTATAAACCACACTGCCTCAGATGAGGGGCAGTTATTTGGAGCCGGATCCTCTGGTCGGTCCAGACAGTTCTGGTCCAGCTCAGCAGATGGTTCTGCAGCACAGACTGTGGTCTGTTGTGTGTCAGTGTGTATCATTAGCGCTGCACGCTCTGATAATTCTCTATAGCCGGATTGTAGCCTTTCAGGTTTATCAGCCATAATGAATCATGAAGCTGGGAGCAGCCGCTGGTCACATGACCCTGTGCCCCTCCCTGAGTGAGTGCAGTCACCCTGATGGTCCCAGCTATGATGTATCTGTCGCCGAAGTCAGAAAACTTTTCATATCAGTAATGTAAGTGTTTACATTAAATGCCCCCCACCCTCCCATATCCTGCCCCCCTGCCTCCCCTTCTCTCTCCTCATCAGGGGGAAGTTTGCTGTGGTCAAACGCTGTGTGGAGAAGAGCTCAGGAAAAGTCTTTGCTGCTAAGTTTTTACGTAAAAGAAGAAGAGGTCGCGACTGTCGCTCAGAGGTCATTCATGAAATGGCCGTCCTGGAGATGAGCCACAACAACAACCGCGTGGTCAACCTGCACGCTGCCCACGAAACGGACCACGACATCGTCCTAATCCTGGAATAGTAAGTCTGTTAACTGAACTGTTAACTAAATCATTAACTAAACTGTTAACTAAATCATTTACTGAACCGTTAACTGAACTTTTAACTGACGTTGATCATCATCTACATGTATAAATATTTAAGGTGTTTTCTGATCCTAAGTAATGTTCACATGGTTGAAGGAGGGTTGCTGGTTTGAATCCCGACCTGAATGCAGCAGACAGTACCGATGAAGTTCATTACGTTTCAAGGAACTAACTATTGTGGAATGTTTCTCTGTGTTGTGTGTGTGTGTTGTGTGTGTGTTCGGTCAGTGCTGCGGGCGGAGAGATTTTCGACCACTGTGTTTCTGACGAGCTGCTGCCAGAGGCTCAGATCACCCGTCTGATCAGACAGACCCTGGAGGGGGTCCACAACCTGCACCAAAGTAACCTGGTCCACCTGGACCTCAAGGTCTGTTGTTTATGATGTCGCTGTAAAACATCCAATCCTCCGCCGATATCACCGTCCCCATATTAGCATAATTATTTAATATCCGTAAGAATCGTGACCGTTTTATCCTTTAATAATGAAAGCCTGATACCAAAATGCCTGGGTAGAAAATAATTGAGAAACACTGCGTTAACCCAGCACCTTAGTGAGCAGGCCGTACCTAACTTCCTTAACCACCAGGCAGGTCAACGACCTCTGACTGTGAGGACATAAAAGTGTTTCCTGTTTGGTGGTGAAAAGTTTGAACGTTCAGTGACAAGTGGGAAGTTTCATAAAAACTGTTTCCTGTCTCCAGCCTCAGAACATCCTCCTCACCGGCCTCTCTCCTCTAGGAGACATCAAGATCGTAGACTTCGGTCTGGCTCGGAGACTGGGGGCCGTGGGAGAACTCAGGGAGATCTTGGGCACACCTGAATATGTGGGTGAGTTGGTGGGCGGGGCGGTGACATCATCATCATCATCAAGTTGTGACTGTTTACACACAAATGTTGTTGTGACACTCATGTGACCTCTGACCTCTTGTCCACTTCAGCTCCTGAGGTCCTGAACTATGAACCCATCACTACAGCCACCGACCTGTGGTGAGTGTGTCGCTCTGATGTCGCTGTGATGTCACGTGTGTTCAGCAGCTAATGCTAATGTTTATTTTAAAATATAAACAACCAGAAGATCATTCACCGACCCTCTACTCCCCCTGCTGGGCTGTTGGGTGAAATTTTATTCATGAATTACAGTCGAATTTATGGTGCAGAGTTTACCCCTGTCCTTGGAGGTGGGACCGCCTCCTTGTGGACAGTAAACAAACTCCTGTGCTCTGGCTGAACAGGTCCAGTGGCCTTGGTTCCCTGTGGTGTCCATGTGGGCTGCAGGGAGGGGGAGATGGGAAAGGGTTTTTACTCAGTGTCGACCTCTGGGGGTACATTTTTTTTTTGCAGCGAAATCCTTTCATATGTGACACAGTCATGTGACATGACAGTGTTTAACCTGGTTAGTACTGGTGACTAACCTGGTTAGTTAGTGGGTCTGGTCCACTCTGTTCTGTAAACGTTCTTCCAGCTCTGGGTTTGATGTCTCCTCCTGTCTGGTTCTGCCCCCTGCAGGAGTGTGGGGGTCATCGCCTACATGCTGGTGACGGGTGAGTCCCCTTTTGTCGGGGACGATAAGCAGGAGACGTATCTGAACGTGTCTCAGGTCAACGTGGACTACAGCAGGGAGAACTTCTCCATGGTGTCAGAGCTGGCCGTGGACTTCATCCGCAAACTGCTGGTCAAAGCCCCCGAGTGAGTGGACGGACATGACGTGTTAGGACATGAGACATGAGACAGACTTTGTTTTTTTTTCTTCGTTCACACAAACACAGTTTGTGTTAGTTTCTCATGAAGTGAAGCTGAGCTGATTATTGACTTTATTGTTACACAATAGTAAAGTATGTAGGTGTGTCACTTCACACACACACACACACCTCAGTGTTATTGTCATCAGTGTCAGCCTTGGTTTCCTGTCAGTGCTTTGTTATTGTTATTATTAGAGCTGTGTGTTGGCAACAATCTGGAGATATGATACGTATCACGACCAATGGTCAACAATTGATATATTGATTTTTTTTTTCACCAATGGAACTGTAGTCAAAGTGCCATCAAAGACACAATGCTGATCCATCTGAACATCTACTACTAACATTGGAACAATATAAAAATCATTGTCATTGTTCAGGGCAGTATTTCTGTGCCGCTGCTTGACCTTTGAACTCTGACATTTGTATTTGTGTCGTGACCACAGAGACCGGCCCAGTGCAGCAGAGTGCATGAGTCACCCGTGGCTGTGGCAGCTGTGTTTGAGCCCCGACCTCACGGCCCCCACCCGCCCGGTCCGGGAGAGGAGCTGTGGTATAAAGTGGGCAGCACCCCCGGAGGATCCAGAAGACAAGGAGAACTTCCTGGAGTCACCGCACTCCCACGCAAAGAGGTTTCGCTTTGATGAGGAAAGCTCTACCCGGGGGGAAGGAGACTGTTAAAAAAGGGAGCGGGGGGGGGTGGGGCCGCGGCCGGGGGGGCAGAGGTAGAACAGGGCAGGTCTCCACCTCAGTTTTTAAAGTTTTTTTTTTTTTTTAATCTTCACCAAACTACCAGCAACAGAACCTGTGTTTATAAAGGACCAGTCAAACCAAAGATGACCAGCAGGGGTCACCTGTGTGTCTGTTAAAGCAGGGTCTCTGACCTGGAGGATTTTAATGAAGGCCATTCATCAGTAAATACAGGGAAATCTATGCAAAGCTGTAGAGCGGCATCATGGGAAATAAAACCTGGTCCACATGGACTGCACAGGTTTTGGTCCACATGGACTGCACAGGTTTTGGTCCACATGGACTGCACATGTTTTGGTCCACATGTCTGTGGTGTGGGTGTGTGTACAGGTTTAGGTCTGTGTTTTGTTCCCTTCACTCATTCTCACTTTTTTCTCTAATTCATTTATAATCGTGACTGAGCAGACGTTTTAGGCAGAGGCTCAAGTTTTTGCCGCAACCCAGCGCCCTCTCATGCTCACCGCTGGGATAGGCTCTAGCACCCCTCCCCAAACCAAACCATCCTCGTTGTTTCATGTTAGCTGAAAGTGTGTGAGCAAACACTCAGGAACATAGGTGTGTGTGTGTGTCACGCATGATGATTACTTCAACACAGCTACAGCCTCGTAGTTAACCATGGTGTTTGGTTATAGCTGTGATGTAATAGGTGCTGTCAGTGATGTCATCATCAGTCGACTCAGTGATGTCATCGTCGTACTGTACTGATCTGAGCTCCGACCTGTTTGGACTCACTGACAAAAGGCCAGTGACTCATCACAGAACACACCTGCCCCCGAGTCAAACCATCCGCCCCGCCCCGCCCCACCCCCCCTTCACCCCTTAGCTCACAGTTCCTCTTTCTTCAACACGACCAGAGGAACGTGACTCAAACACTTCACTTTCACCAGGACTTGTTGTGAAACTTGTTTCTGCTTTTTCTCTTTGCCCCTGCAGACTCTTTGATCTGTGTACAGATGAAAGTCTTTTAGAAGAATGTGTGTGTGTGTGTGTGTGTGTGTGTTATGGGCTAGATCTGTGTTTTTCTGTGATTACCAGTGACCCAGTGTTGCCAAAGTTGCTGGTACGAACCAGACTTCGTGTTGCCGTCTGTGGACTTCCTGTTAGTGTTAACGCTGTGTTAGAAATGAGAAAATGATTTTTTTAAGGTGCCTTCAAACGACCTGATATTTAATTCCTATAAATGAACCAGCACACATTTATACAAGTTTTAATTCCTGCT